AGCTGTCCAGAAAGGTGTTCCTCCTTTTCATTTTTCCCTCTCAAATCATCCTTGATTACCTCCTAAAGCTAAAAAATACAAAGTTACCTATGGGCTCTATCAAGGTCTACTTGACAATTATAACAGCCTTTCATTTAGTGGTTGTGGGATTCTCAATCTTTCACCCATCCTATAGCTGTCAAGTTTCTGAGAAGACTGGGAAACCTTTTTCCCTAAGAAACCCACATCTATATGGGATTTGAATTTAGTACTTAAATGCCGTATGAGCCCTCCCTTTTGATCCAGTGGGTCAATCTTCCCTCATTAATTTATCTTGGAAGACCTCTTTTTGGTAGCTATCAACTCCGGTCAAGGGTGGGAAAAAGTAGCCTCTTATGGCAGATCTTCCATTTACAGTATTTTTCAAGGATGAAGTTTCATTACTTCCACACCCTAAATTTTTACCCCAGGTGTCATCTGAGTTTCACATCAACCTTTTTCCGTTTTTTTCCCCCCAAGCCTCATCAGTCCAGACAGAAGGCCATTTTACACACTTTGGCTGTTCGGATGGCGTTAACCTTTTATTTAGACAGAACTAAGTCATTTAGGAAATCACCCAGGCCAGTTGTGGCTATTGCAGATAGAGCTAAAGGTTTGGCAAATTCCACCCAGAGACTTTCCGGGTGGATCTCTGACTGTATCTTATTGTGTTATAAATCTTCAGATATACAGCCTCCTTCTACGGTGTTGGCTCAGGATCTCTATCTACTTCTGTGACATTACTCAAGAATGTCCCTATTCTAGAAATTTCTTAGGCGGCCACTTAGTCTTCTATACATACCTTCTCCAAGCATTGTGCAGTAGGCCGTCTTTTTGATGAGATGCTGCTATTGGAAATGCTGTGTTGTCATTGTCTTGGACTTGGTTCTGAAGCCCCCCACTCTAGCTGGGGGTACTACTCAGTAGTCTCCTGAAGTGGAGCATGCACAGGGATGCTACTCAAAGAAGAAGGAGAGGTTATTCACCTTGTGCAATAACTGGAGTGCTTCAAGATGTGTGTCCTTTCAGTGCTCCACTACCCACCCTCCTCCCCTCTACTTTGGAGTTTCCCCTGGGGACTTCACAGTAGAGAAGGAACTGAGGGCAATTTACCAGCGCAGTCCTATATAGCCTCAGAAGGGGGCCTGAGGAAGCATAGGATGCATATATGGGCAAACAGGCACTACTACCAAAAATCTCTGATTAAAGGCACAAGGAGTGTGAGTACACCAGAAGTGGAGCACCAATAGGGACACACATCTCAACGACCATTGGTTACTGCACAAGGTGAGTAACCTCTCCTTGATGAACGTCTGGTCATCAGAAACCCAGTTCTAAGCGTTATACTCATCTAAGCAAAGAATAGAAATGGATCCTGTGAGCTATGCTTCTGATCAAAACTAACCAACACTGCTCACACGCTGAACACTCAGAGTGAGCTGCCCGTGAGCAATATTCAGATCAGGAATTATCTGTAGAAATTATTGGGCAAACCATTTAAAAGGATAAGCAGGTTGGAGAAAATTGCAAGTTGCTCACCGATCATTTTTGAAAAGAAAAGCCTAGATCACTCAAATTATTGGCTGTGAATTACTTTCTCAGCTCTAGATTTAGGTTATTGTAATGAACTGGCTAGTGTGTATGTGTTCCCCTGCCCTGGACTGGAAGGAATCAGAATTGCTAAAGGATGTAGCATAGATGCTATGTTGTTAAATGCTGTTGGAGATTCTCCTTTAGCTCCAGTGGTTCGTGCGTTTGGGGCAGCAGAATTGCTTTTGGCTAGCTCTTTCAGAACAGGAGCATTTGGGTTCTGTCCCCCACTTTCACCACCATGATCAGAATGACCACAGCGAGCATTGTAGTGACAACTGTCAAGTCCATAGGTTGCCATGGGTTTGCTACACTAGCATTTGCAGTGGGATTTGAACTCCTGTGAGATTCCAGACATTTGAGGGGGGGGGGGTTGGACTAGAAGAGTATGTAATTAACTGTGTATGTATGTGTACCACTGCCCTCTGCAGAATGGAATGTAAACTACTCATCTGTGTGTCTCAGACCCTATACAACTAACAGCTAATAAATAATCTCCTTTTGCTTGAGAAGCAGAGGTCTCTGTAGCTGGTGTGCAGGAGGATTATGGAGACCTATTTCCATTCATTTCAAAGTAAAAAGCATGTTCATCATAGTGACAAATGTGAAGCTCTAGGATTATTATTTGTCACAGTATGTTTTATTGAATATATTCTGAATCTATCTGAGCCAAATTCAACCCGGATGTAACTCCATCAGCTTCAGTGTAATTACATGAGGACTTAATTTGGCCCTTTCTGGGTTTAGATAATGAGCTGATAGCCACAACATCCATTCTCCTTGCCCTGACTGTGCCCCTGCTCTCTCGTTATCTATGTCCCGGCAGTGTCTGCCTGTGTGGGGGGCTGGGTGAGGGAGGTGGTACTAGAAATCTCATTTAAACAGTGAGGTGCATAGGAAAATACATTCTTTATTATCTTCTGTAACAACAAGCCAGAAATATAATATACCTTTAAAAAGCATCTGTCTCATGCCAAATAAACCTCTGTTCAACCATTGTAGAAAACCATGTCGCTCTCCCTCAAACCTTAACAGAAGAAAAGAAATTGCCCAAGCCATCTGCTCCCCACAGGCAATGGGCCTGCCTGCACCACACCTAGGAGAGGTGTTCCTGCGTGTGCCTGCTTGCCCAGGGGAAGCACATTTACAGAGTGCACCCACGTGCACTGAAGAACTGACTGCTCTGCACTGCAGTGCCTGCCTGCACAGGTGGGACATGTTTGCTGGGGTTTCCAAAGAGAAGCCCATCTCCTAGCTGTGACTGGTTGCGGAGGAGGAGCCCACTTCCCAGATGCACCCCCGAGGAGGCCTTTTCCTGAGCACACTAGCACGGCTGGGCCAAGCTGTGGGCCAGGTGTGTTCTCCTCCATCGAGAGAGCCTATTTTCTAGCTACACTGGAGGACCGTGTTCCCCAGATGTGCCTGGTGGCAATGGAGAAGCCCATTCCCAGCTGCACAAGAGGAGCAAGTTTTGCAGATGTGCCAGGTCACAATTGAAAAGCCTGTTCCCGAGCTGTGGTGTATGTTGGGCCCTTCCTGGGTTGCCCTGTTGCACTATTCAGCAGGGAGGAGATCACCACCCCTGGGTTTCAGTAGCCTGTTGTCCTCTCAAGTATTTGCATTTCATGGGGACTAAACAGTGTCCACCCTCACTTTTCTCAACAACCTTCTGTTTTCGTCCCTCACCTTCCTCCTCCTTTCCTGAGTGGGTTTCTAAACCTGGAAGTCCCTGCATCAGGGCCGAGGTGAACCCAGCCTGCTGTTCGCCAGACCCTTTGCCATACCACCGAGAAACAAGAGGAAATGAGGTTCGAGGCCACACTCAAACCCACAACAGAAGAAAGAAAATGTTATCAGCAACAAAGGAAACTTTGTTGGGGAAAAGGGGACAAGTGGGGATTTTTCTCCTCTCCCCTACCCTTTATCCCCCTCCCTACACACACACACATACACACACGCACACCCCATTTGCTTTGTGCAATTGTTTCATCATTATTTGTTACAAGTAAAATAGAGATCTATAAATATACAGCTCTGACTCAAGTCCCATTTCAAGTATGATTGCGGAGTCCAGTATGCTATGGTGATACGTTCCTGGGGTGGGGAGTCTGGATCCAGCAGGCGGAGTTGAGTTCTGGCTTGCTGGGAATATGGAGCAGCAGCAACATGCATGCTGGGAGGAGGAGGCTGTAGTGCACCAGTTCTACCCCTCGGAGCAGGCTACAGCTGAAGCATAATCAGGTGGGTTGAGAGGAGAATCCATTCTCCACTCATGGCATTTCCCCTCTCCCTCCCACATGCAGCACATAGAATGGGTGTGTAGAACGTGCCTCTCCCATTCTCACTTGCGCAGCAGCCTCCCTTTCCCTTCATGCAGAACGTTCTCCTCTGTCCCTGCCATCACTAGACAAATGGGAAATAGTTTTACTCCTGTCTGCGGTTATCCCATCTCTTTGGATCTGTTGGCTCTGGACCGGTAGGAGGATTTTTGCCACTCCAAACTGTCTGAGAGTACGTGGTAGCGTTCCTGTTCGTTGATATGACAGCTGGACTGACAGTGAAGGAGTTGAGAAGGAATGTGTGGTGTTTCCACTGGAATCCAGCAGCAGCTAGAGGGAAGGGCTGCAGATTATCTGAAGGTATCAGGATACAATAGGAGAGGAAAGGAGTTGATATGACCTGGCTCTGCCCAGCTGCCGTGATTGCTGGACTCTGCACCTGGCTTACCAGAGAAATACCCTGCAAATCTGGGCCGGCTGCCAGATCATTTCAGGATGTCAAGGATCGCACCAGACACAAACATTGCGGCTGCAAGACCTCTGGTGTCATCTTCCTGTCCCAGGAATACCCACTGTGACGGGTTAGAACAGGTTACCATGGCAATGTGCGCTCTCCCCTGGAGACAGCACTTTATCCCACTTCCAATGATACAAAATGAGTCCTTGTGTTGGCTTTTTTTTTGTCAGTTTCAAAAGAGATGAGGCTAATATGAGGCTCAGCGGGTTTTAAAATCGGGCCTGGGAAAAGTTAGCCTAGGTGACAGATACAGTGCATGTGCATGCCTGTGCGTGTGTGTGTGTGTGTCAATAAGCACATACATGTATATGTTTGCATATTAGTCAATTTGTGTGTGTGTGTGTGTGTGTGTGTGTGTGTGTGTGTGTGTGTGTGTCGTCTTATTGTTGTGT